GGATATTGATGACGTAAATTATTCAATAACAGTGATGTTCATTTTGCTTCTCTTTTTCTTCTTTATAGAGAATTTTTAATGGCAATTAATATTACAGGTATGATCCTATTTTCTATTGAATATATATATATAATAAGAAATAAAATATCGATTGATTTTTCTAGCCAAAGGTAATCCTGAAAAGAAACTTAAATGGGCTTTCAAAATGTATGATATTGATTCAAATGGAAGTATTGATCGACAGGAAATGTTAAGAATTATTGAAGTAAAATGAAGTATTGTCATAAGAAATACAATTATCTTTTTATTTTATCTATAGTCTATCTATGATTTACTCGGTGCTACTGCAGCACAAAATGCACCAAATGGTGCCATTACAAATCGTGATCCAAATGATACACCTGAAAGTCGAACGGCACAAATATTTGCTGTTATGGTAAATAAAAAAAAACGAAATTTTTCTATTTTTCTATTATATAATAAAACGTTCTATTTCTTTTTCTTTCAATAGGATGAAGATAACAATGGGTAAAATTTTCTTGTAGTACTTTGTCATATAAATTCTTTTGTGTCATATTAATAGAGTTATTACTGAAGAAGAATTCATTCGTGGTTGTATGGCTGATCGAGTCTTATATCAAATGTTAACGGCCGATACAAGCGATCCTGAACGATAATGATTTATTCTATGTGAATAGTTGATTACGCTTCTGCTAGTCCAATTAATCAATAGACACAATGAAACTTTTACTTAAAGTCATTGATAATCATGTTGACATATTTGGAAAAGAGAAGAAGCGCGCGTATACATTTGTTTCTCTTGTGTCAGTTGTACTTCTTTATATCTATGTATCTGATTCTATTTCTTTTATTTTTGTCTTGTGACTGTCATTGTATATGAAATACATATATTAAATGTCTTTTTTTTTCAAGTGAAAAAGAATAATATAATGAATGAATGTTAATCCAATGGAATATTATTTTATCTGAAAAAAAAATGGGATATGAAGAAGAACTTTATAAAATGTAATTCTCAGTTGAAATCTAAATTGCTAATTTCATTTTTTTGTAGAAAGAAATTTACTCAAGATTGATTAGGAAATTAAAACTATTCATGTTACCGTAATAACTTTTGTGTGCCTTAATGTTCATGTCAAAGAATATTTCCGAATTTTAGAGTAATTTCCTTTTTTAAAAAAGTAATTAATTTTTTAGTTTTATTATAGGAAAGAAAATTAAATATTCGAATGACTCGGTTCATCTCGTTTCTTTATCAGAATCGACATGTAATCACACGACATACAATGAGTAAATTTTGAAAGAAAATTCTATTCAATTATTTCTTTTATTTTCATGACATTCTTCAATTAGTGATTGTATTTTTAAAGAAATATATTTTCTAAAACAAAAAGTAATAAATTCACAATAAAGATTTTCTGTTGCATTTCTAATACATTCATATTGATTAAGAATTCGAATTATTTGCGGTTGTATTATCTGATTTACCTTGAATTGAATATTATGAACTCTGATAATTATTTTGTTTCTTTAAGACCTTGAAAAACGGCGAACAAGTAAATTAGCATTTAATATTGGGAAAGCATATTAAAAGATAGCTTTTGTAATAATATGCGTGTCTTTTTCATTAATATTATTGCTTCAATTATTTCTTATACATAAACTTAATTGACAATCATCTCAAGAATACTCAACTGTTGAACAACAATAACTCCGTTTGATACAACATGGAACTGACGATAGATATTGACTACAACTTCAATATTTTTCAAATAACTACAGTGATTAATAATACAATAAATATACTTCGTCGTAATATTTTATATTTTATGACTGAAAATGACATTTGTATCTACCTCGGAAATGTTGTTCTTGATTTCCTATTTAATATAAGCAAAATAAAATGATGAATGACACTAGTACAATTATATATGTAAATCAATTGTATACAGGTGAATAGAATAGAAGAAAGTTTATAATGAAGGAAATGAATATACTTCTTTTCATGCATTGTGTTTAATTTATAACGCCATTCTATTGCACCAGTAGTTTTTATTCATCAATAAGAAATATGAATCAATCAAGTAATAAATATACACAGAATTGATTGATATAGAATCATTGACAAAATAATGAACAACTGACATATCGTTTTTTTTATGTAAAATATATGTTAAACAAAAGATTGATATATTTGTCTGATTAAATACGAAAAGAGTTCTATAAAATTTATTACTAGTAATAAAAACGATAAGAATATGAAGCTTGTATCTGAAAAAGTAATCTTAAGATTTATGATAAATCAGAGAGTTGTATACACCCGCTTTATTATATTTAAATAATGAAAAAAAATTCAAGATCTTTAATATAAAATAGTTTTTCTTCAGTTCTGCAGTATTATTATCATGAATCAAATATTTATGCTACGTCAGGATCTACGTTGATAATATTTGAGAACAACTACGTCAGACATCTTGCATAATCGTGATGAAAGACCAATGTCTATAAATCAAATAGACGTCAACGTTTCTTGTGTAAATATAGTCACCTTATCTTTTATTAAAGCATTTTTTTATATAAACACACGTTTGAAACGAATAAAAACAAGCAAAAAATAAGTTTAATAAACAAGATGGCCCAAAACACTGTTGCACCAGTAGATTTTTCTGGTGGAAAATATCCAGTAACGGCTGCACAAGGATGGTCAGCTCCTTTAGATTCTGCTTCACAGTCACATGTGAATGTATCAACATCAAATGATGATAAAAACTTGCCAAATTATAGTGAAGGTCCACCACCATCTGCACCTGATATAAGTGACTTTCCACCCAATTATTTTGATATATCGATTGTACCTAATAATGGTGTTTTGCATTATAATGAAGTCCCAGCATATACTGAACCATCTAAAGCAGAAGTTGAACGAAAAAGTGAAGGTGTTCTTTCATTTGATCCACTTATTGAGAAAAATCCTGATCAATTATGGTTGTATTTTATGACTTATCTTAATGAAAAACCAGCTTTAGGTATTGTTATTCATGGTTATCATACTGAGGTATAGTATAAATCTATTTAGGAGATTCCTATAAACTTATTATATGTATATATAGCATTATACAACATATGAACAACGTCGCTCAGCTGATGGTCATACACATACACATCCTGTACATCATACTCGTAATGTAACTGATTTTAATTTTACTGTTGATGCAACGCAATATATATCACAACAATGGTGGCGTGTAGCTGTTATTCCATCAAAAAAAGCAATGAAAGCTGGTGAATTTGTTTCATTAAGAGATGCTGTTGAACAATATACACGTTCAGAAAAAAATATCAAAGAAATTACATGTCAAAAACAATTAGTTGGCTGGAATTATCAAGAATTACAAGACAAAATAAAAGCATTGATTTATTCAACTGGTTATCGAAGTCATATTAATGTTGTAAGTTATTATTGAAAATAAAATATTTCATTGTTTATGTAAATATTCATTTTCCTAGACTTTTTCTGTGAATAACAATAAAATAGCGGCTCGTTCATCATCAAAAATGAGTCGATTTTCAAGTTCACTAGTTGTTCGTATTTTATGTGTGGTGTCATGTTTATTTCTTATCTTTGGCCCAATTTATTTATGTTTACGTTCAGCAGGTTCTACTCGAGATCGAATTGTAGCAGATTATTCTATGGTAGCACCAGTTGATACTTTTCTTCATTTCAATAGTGCAGTTATTGCTAATGCAGCTATGGGTCGTTCTAGAGAATTTTATCCTTCTTATCTTGCTTAATTTTCTCTATTAAAGTATTTTGTTATTTTGTCTTGAACATTATTTTTCGTATAAGAAGTGTATTTGATCTAAATAAATGAATGTCATCTTAAATTATGTGATCATTTCATGAATTAATTATAGTAGATGATTAGCTATATTATATAGTCTACTAAATAATACGTAGAGATAGGTGTGGATGAAGAAGAGACACACACACCCTGAAGATTATTATGATAATATACCTGTAGGTGAACTATCATTAGACACTTCAGTTGCTTGTATGATTTCTTTCTGATGGTAATCTTCACCTTTAACTTCACATAAATCTTGTTTATCTTATTTTAATATATATATTAATATTTTTTTTCAATAATTATTTATTTTTCAATGGTTTTTCTCATTCGAATATTATTAACATGAGAATAAATGTATATCAATACAAAATAAAATTTTAGTCATGCATCTTCATTTAATTATCATTTCGAAAGTCACACTCTTTGAAAACTCTGGAAGTTTCGATTATCTGAGAAGAAAGATTAGTTGATGTTGTACTAGTTTTTTCTTTATTTTTGTTATTTGGTCAATTGAACATAAAAATAATACTTTCAATGACGATAACTACCGATGTGCAAATAGTGATATCATGAAATACTGATGTACACATATACTAATGACAGTTCCTCACAAATCAATAGAACCTTATACAAATTGATGTAAACTTTGAGGATGGGAATTTACAAAAATCAAGAGCAATGTCATAGGAAGTATTAAAAGTAGAAAAATAATTAATCATCATATTCAGAGTTATGATTTATTAAAACTATCGTTTATCAATGCAGTCGTCTACTTCCTCAAAAATGACAAAATTACGTACATCCTTACTTTAGTATGTAGTCATGCACTTCCATAAAAATGACGACATAAAGTACATCCTTACCTTGGTATGCATGATTTGAGCGGAACAAGAGAACGAAAAAATATCAATTAAATCATAAATATGATAAGAAAACATATAAGCAGCAAACGAGTATAAATACTAAAGTGATATTGCAAATAGTACTGTAGAAAAAGAGAAAAAAAACGGATAAACAAAGTGTGACGATAACATATTATAGTTATTCAATTGTTCAAAAATCAACAACGATCCTCTTGTAAAGCTCTGGTATACACGTATAATTACATAGCATTATTCTTAGAACACTGTCAATATGGAAAACTCTAGAGACTATCTTGGTCGTCTTATTTTAATTATCAGTACCATCATTTTATCGATTACTCCTGGATATTTGTCAGCACAAGTCAATGGCGGCATGGCTATCAATCTCAACAGTAATATAAAGATCTATCAGTTGTACGGGTACTATTTTGAACTTTGATTGCTTTTTTTTTAGGTGGAACAATGATACAGACGGCATTTAGTGTTGATTTAACAAACATCGACATTACTCAAATCACCAGCTATGATTCAATGATTAATCAAGTAAGTGAATATTCATTCAATCATAAAAAATATCCATTAAATCTCTCGATACATAGATGAACTTATATCTTGGCTTTTTAACGGACGATATTCGTATTCAATCGATTTCGTTAGTCAATAGTTTCATTTCAAGTACAAATGCACACGAAACAGTACAATACACAGGGTTAGTTTATTGAATTTAGTGTAAGCTCTATTGTTCATGTTTTTTAGCGCAAATTTATCATGTGATATTGTTATTGATAAAACAATTCTGAAGAGTAATAAATGTGGCATACTAACAATTACAATTAATATCAAAAAGTTTCCCAGTACAATATGCGGAACTAATGATTGCCAAACAAAATATATAACCGATATCAAAACCATGATTCGATCACGCTATATTTCTGTAATAATGCTCATCCTGCAAACGGCTAATGGTGATATTCGTTTAGTTTCAGCTCAATTTTGCTACTTTGTCAATTCGCTCACTAGTAAGTGTTCTTTTTTATTGAATAGTACATTCCATTTAAAGTAACCATTTTATATTAAACAAATTAATTTCTCCTCATAAAAGAGATGCAATAGTTCAGTCTATTCATTTCTGAACAATAATATTATTGAATTTAATGAAAATCTTTTAATCAATAGTATTTCGAATTGGCATGTTTTAATACATACTAACATTGATGGCTATCGTTGTTATGAGAACTGATAAGAGTCAGTATAGGCGTAATTGATTCTGATAGCAACTCGTAGTAGTATCATATAGGTTCATGCAACATTATCTTGTTAGAATGTAGGTAACAGTGAGGTTTAAGAAAATATTATCATTTACATTACACCTAAACGCTCAATTCAATGCACCAGAATGAATACTTTGAATTTTAGCTACCACAACAACTAGTACAACAACTAAGACCACAACTAGGACAACAACTAGCACAACAACTCCCACAACCACGACAACAACCGGTGAGTGTAATTTTTACTTTATATTCCAGATTCATATTTAGAATAGCAAAACAATTCTATTCTTTTCCACTATAGAGACGCTTTCTGTGAAATATAGAAGAAGTTAACATAAAAATGATACTGAGATATTTTACTGAAATAGTGTAAATCTTTCTACTTTATAACTTCGATTGAAAAAGAGAGGGTTGTGCTTTTTAATCTTATCGCTCACTTCTTTGATACTTATGTTGTATCCACGTTGATTTACCTTATATGATAAACTAAGTGATTTTATTTTAATCAATGAGAGTACGGTGTGAGGATGTTAAGATAGAATATTCTTGAAAGAATGAATTTGTTTCTATATTTTAGTAACATACAATCAAGCAAACAAATGTCTTTGCACAATTAGTAACAATCGTATGTTGAATGTTTTTCTAAATATTTTCTTTTATTAGTGTTATTATTCTATTCGTAGTAACTGCCAACAATAACCCAACTAGTGGAACCCAGAATTTTCTCACTACATTTACATATGGTACTGACCAGTATTCTAACAAAACTTCTGCTGATTTTGGCTTCACATCTGGACACACACAAGTGTTTTCAGATTGTCCGGGTGATGGCTATTTTGCTATCGCTAATGTAGTTCCTGGTTGTTTTTTTTGGATTCCTGGAGGCTTCGATCATACAGCTAATGAAACCGGTGGATACATGTATGTATTGAATGCATTACTCTATCCTGGATTATATTTTAACAAAACGATCAATAACTTAAGCATTGGCAAAGTGTATGAATTTTCGACGTATGCAGCTAATCTAAACCAGCCTGGTTGGTCTCCATCGAACATAATATTTCAAGTTCGAACTGCCACATCAGATAATACATTGATCGCAGAAGGAAACTCAGGCAATATACCTGACTCTGCCAATTTCGCTTGGAATAAGTATGGAATATCATTTGTAGCACCAAGCACTTCGGTCATGTTATTAATGATATCAAATGGTACTAGCAGTGCCGGAAACGATGTCGCCCTCGATGACATAGGCTTATGCAGATGCTAAATACCAGTTTCTTATTTCTGTCCAACAGTATAAAACATTAACAATAAAAATTATAAAATTAATCTGGAGTGTGATCTTAGTTTTCTCATTCTATTTCTTTTACTCTTTGCTTTAACCTTGTTATAAAGAAAATAACTATTTAAATTTATTTAATCCAGAGAAGAAAACCAAACAGAAATAAATAAATAATATTTTTAAATTCAAATATAATGTCTTTCGAATATTTTTTTTTCAAGTGAATGTAAGAAACATTCACATACCACTAGTTCACTTGTTTTGCATAAGTTACCTTCAACAAGAAACTGTCTATTTTGGGTGTAATATACAGTACTATCTATTATCTGCTAGAGAGAAATTAGATTATGCCATGTGACTCAATAATTAAAAATTGTTGCATTTTACTAATATATAGTTTAGCTAAGCATAATTACCTGATCACACAAAGAGTAAAAAATAATGCGTAAAAATGCGCATTTTTTTAAATTTATCTTTCTTCAAATTTTGATAGTTTTTTTTCTGTTGTTTCGTTTCCTGAGATTCAACAATAACATGAAAGTATAGAATTAAATTATATTATTTTTATTTAAATTTGATATAACAACTAATTTAATCGTAACTATAAACTTTAAGTTTATCAATGCATCTCTATAATTAAATTAATTGTTGGACATATATTAAAGGTAACATTGAAGGTGTGATACAAATTTCATTGTATATAATCAATTTCATTAGATAATTAGTGAGAACGTTTATTAATGAAACATACACATCAAGTATTAAAATAGTTTTACTAAATAGTTTTTTTAGGTTCAACATTAAATTATGTTTTGAGATTATTTTTCATATTCTTGAAATAAAGATATTATAGACAGTAGTATAAGAACACATTTTATTGATGAGAGAAATCGAACATCATAAATAGTGGATGATAACTTCAATGATACTGTGTAAATCTGTATTCTTCATGTCTCTCCAATTTTTAGATACTGAAAAATTAAAATACTTGAAACTGACATGAAAACAAAAAATAGTATATAAACTTAAAATTTAATAGTAATACTAATTTAGAATATAAAAAAGATCTGCTTCAAACTCAAGTAGACTTCATACTGATCTGCGATATATTCATATAAAGTACTGTGAAACAGAATCACATAATATATTCTCTTTTCTTTTTCTCTAGTTTATTATGCAACTTAAATTCTTTTAGTCTTCATGACAAGTTTTGTATTCTCTTGCACACAACAAAAAAATTGAGGCGCGTGGACAAAAAATGTCGTATAGTGTTTTTTTATTCTATACAAACTAAACAAACAGATCAACTATAAAATCAATGTGAATCTTTCACTATTTGACGTACTAAATACACACGAATACAAATGAATGCAATACCATATATTTTAAATATTTAATTAAATAGAGTGGGTGTCGGTATAATGAAAATAAGTTATATAGTTTCATCACTTCACATATACTTATACTCTCAAAATATATTCACAGTTCCAAGGAATTTGTAACAAGTTATCAGATCCCATTGATGATATCTTATAGATATATCGAATCGTACTGTTGTATTTAAATCCTTCTCAAAAGCATTCTTTTTATATAGTCCAATGATATGAATGATTCTGTTACAGATATCACTCTTATTATATATGATCCTACGATTCAGTTAATAAAAATCTTTGTCTTTTAATTCATATATATTTTATTTAGACGTCCGCGTTAGTATAATGTATGTATTCAAACAGAAAACACTCAAAATCATTATTTTAGGAAGGAATAGAGAAAAATATTAGTTGGGATCAAAAAAAAAGGTTAGTTTCACACCTTGATAAAGAGCATGATTATGAAATAAAATAAAATAATGTCAAATATTTGAGACACGTGTAAATGTTTTTTTAGGTCCAAGAATATTTTTCATTCGTTGTTGATGTCTTGTTCTTGCAGCGATATTTGATGGTTTGTGCATATTCGAGAATTTTGTAAAAGCAGCATACATTACCAGAGTATGTATAGGCATAAAACCAATCATCATAATCAATGACATAATTGCAACTGGTTGTTGACATGCATTTTCCTAATATACACATATATGTATTTATGTCAAAAATATCAATCATATTTCAGTAGAAACTTACAAAATCCTTTGGATAAAAAACAGGAATAGTTGATTCAGTTGTTGCACCTGTTGTAGTTGGTCCTGCTGTTGTTGGACCTAGAATACAAATTCATTAATTATAGAGTAATTTATTAGAAAGAGATATTTTATAGAAAATGTTCTGATTCCATATTGAAAAATAAAAGGTTTTTCTTACCACCGGTAGTTGGAGGTGTGGTAGTGACAGCTGTTGTAGTCGTAGAAGCATTTGTAGTAGTCACTACTATTCCACTTGTTGTACACTGTGAAAAAGTGTAACATTAAGAATAAAAACTGACAATTCAAATAAACTTACTGCAGTATTGATTGAAGTAGTAGTTGTTCCTAAGCTTGTAACTGTGTGAGTTGTTGGTGGAGTAGTAGTAGTTGTGGTTGTACTCGAATGTGCTGGATTCCAGATATCGAATCGCCAAAATGTTTTATCAGTAATGGCTAATGATTCAGCATCTTTACAATTACATCGATTATGACAAAATATATAATCTTTTACTTTAACGGAAAAAAAATATAAAAAACTTACGACAAAAGACACTTCCACTAGCAAACCCATCATCCATTGTTACATAATAGGATTGGCCAGGTGTCCATGTTATATCTGTAACAATTACAATAGTATATCCAGTATAAATAACATTTGGAGAATATCCAGCATCATAACATAGAACAGTTGCATTTGTAGTGTCCAAGTGAAAACAGATGTTTGTTCCATTACGAGTAGGACGACCAACTGCACTTGTTGCTGTGTAATTAAATTAGACGATGGAGAATATCGAATTGATTTAAGAATAAAGATAAACTATATGTCGGGAAAATGCCTACCTTGTATAGAAAACAACGACTGGTTTGCAAAAACAGTACCTATTGGACTTGCTGATCCTTGTACCAATATGGGATGAATTAAATTCGGTGAGTCATAGCCAACTAGATATGTGATACACCATGGAGCTGATTG